TTGATTGGATTTTCTGTTCCGTCTTTTCAAAGTGCAAGAGCGTATGGTGACGTCTCGAGCACACTGCACATCTTTTATCTGATGTGCATTTTGCAGCTGCATCATGCCATAGGCAATTAATGCACAAATTTTTTTCTCTTATTGCCTGGCTCCGTGCTGTTACTGACAGGCCCCTGAACTTTGGGCAATAACTTATCGTATGTTGGCAAAAACTGCACACGATCTTACGCCCATGAAATGGCTGTTGCCTCTTGTTCTGTGCTGCATTTGTCGCTGTCAATCTGGGACTGCTGGGTGTTGCCTCTAAGGATTGAAAACGGTTTCGCAAGAAGTTGATTTGATCTTCTAAACATTGAATTACCAACGGATACTCGATAGAAGACCTGTTTGTTTCAGCATCCCATTTTTTCGAGATCAAATAGCTTATTATTGGACCCCATGAGTCTGTTTTTATTCCCATCAGCTCAATTGCAGCCATGCATTCACTTATGGTGTCGTGGAGTTCTTGTAGTTTTCTGGCTGATTCATGGTGAATTGGCGGGAACTCCATTATTTTATTAAGTAACTTTGTTAATATTAACCTCTTGTTATTGTACCTTTTTTTTAGCTGCTCCCATGCTGCTCCGTAATTAGCATTTGTTATGGGAAAATGTTGAATGGCACGCGCTGCTTCGCCTTTAAGGTGAGTTTTTAGATGCTGCATTTTTTCTACGTCGGACAAGCGTCGGTTGTTGTGAATTATTTGCGTAAATATGTCTTCGAAATTGGCCCATTCCTCGTAATTACCTCCGAAAACTGGAATCTGGACCTGTGGTAGTTTGATTGATGTGCTTCTATCATTGTCGCTTTCTGTTTGTTTTAACCTACGTATTTTTTGTCGTAGGTCACAAATGCGGTCTTCGCATTCCATTTCGATTAGTGTATACGTGTTGTTCGTGAAATACGATGCCTGACGTAGTGTGTCGTCGGCTCGGATTTCAAAATGTGCTGATACTATTACTTGCCATTGATTAATTAATTTTTCAGACAGAATTTCGTACCTATCTATAGTCTGGTCATGGGCTAATGCGTCGTCAATTCTGTTCATTATTTGCTGAAGATCTTGTATGCGTTGCATCTGGTATTTTACTCGTGTATCTTCGTCTTCGCTGGATTCGTTAATACATGTTGTTGAGTCCTGAATGTACTTATAACAGTCCTGATACGATTTTTCGATTTGTTTATAATATTCTAATGTCCAATATTCATGAGATAATTCTTTGATTTTAATTATCTCGGCATGAGTTTGTTCCGCATTGGCCCAATGTTCGTTCAACGCCTCCGTGCGGCGTTTAAAGTATTCAGTTGACTTTCTTGAGGTTGAATCTTTTTTCATGTTGGTGTATAGTTGAAGGATGGCCTTCCCAGTGACCTGTTGTTTGGCCACCAGCTCGTTCATTTTTGGGTTTGTGTTCGTCATCTTAAATTGTGTCGATTTGATTATTTTCTAGATATGAAACTGCACCACTTCTGGATTGGACTGGTACAATTTTAGGTTCGAAGGACCATGAAAAGAATCGGATCTTAATTAGGATCCCGAATCTTTGTAATAATGTCCCACTAGCGGAGCGCAGCCTCACGCTCCAGTTAAGGCTTGGAAACTAGTGGGCAGTTGAGTAAAACACAATAGTCTTGTTAATACTGACTTTAATTATAAAATTGTTTCCTTATATACAAATGGGATATTTTATTTTACATACTTATTTTACAAACATCTTAATGTTAGAAGGTTGTATTTTGTTATGTTATTGCTGACGCGGTTTGTTCGCTTAGATGACCGAAGTAGGTCAATTAAATAATTATTATTTAATTTTAAGATTAAACACCTACGTTAGTCACGTGGTATATTGGGACGTGCATAGGCACGTGGTCTACAATCGTAGACCATTTTAATTCTATAAAGCATGTAATTTTCAAATTTTAAATTATAATGTATGACGGAATATTCTCTGAACTATTCCTAATGATATGGATTAGTTTATGTGATCTATTTTTAATGGTGTTAATAAAACACTATATCATGCATTTTTTAATTTTTATTGGCTATAAATGGTAATTTTCTCAAAAAAAATAACTTTGTGCAACTTTAAAAAAAAACTTTATTTCTCATAACAAAACATAAATCATATTGAGTTAAAATAAAAAAAATAAAAATTCTGTAAAAAAAAGATAGACTAGTTAGAGAGCAATAAAAATCGAACATTTTTATTCACTCAAACAATCAGTGCAGCTGTCCCTCATATGATTCTTGCAAGCAAATCTTCCGCACTTAATACAAGACCTTCTAGAAGATTTGTTTATATTTCGAGGACAAACATGACAACGTCCTACATAGTTCAAAGGTCGCTGAGGGGGTAGATGTGGGACGGTTGTGGTGCCCAGTAGGAACTGTGCTCGCTGCCTCATTTCTTTTGGTAGTCTAGACGATTTTGATCTTACTTCAATTTGTGGTCTAATCAGATCAAAGGCGCATTTTTTCAAGAAAGTCACTGCGTTTTATTTTTTTATTACGATGGTTTGCCTTATGCACGCAAAGGGCGTTTATTCCAGAAATATTCAGCAAATCATAAAATATTACCATTGGCCAACGACGCGTATTTCTTGCGACATCATAGTTTTGGCATAACTGATCCACCAAGTCTACACCGATTTTGGTATGGTTGTAATCAGTTACCATTACCAGCTTCCTGTAATCTCCTGTTCCTTCATCTATTGCATTGTCATGGTGCATGGAAGACATCAATACCACTGACCTGTTTTTCTTTGGGCAGTAAGACACCAATGTACAATCTGCTTGAAATCTAAAAAGAGATGACTTCTCTTCCCGATTCTTTTGAGGTAGGAATTCTTAAGGAACCTCACGCCTGTTTTTTCTCACAGTACCTAAATATGTAAGCTTTTTAATTAGCAAATTATTAACAAGTGATAAACGGCTGAACCGATTGTCCGCAGTAATATTTCGATTAGTACCGGCAACCAATCGAAGTGTTATTTTCATTGCCGTTATTGTTAAATTTGTATGGACCTTCGGGCTGAGTTTCCACATAGGTTTCCAAATTAAAGGTATAAGACGTTTTTGTATCTACCAGCGCAAACATTTTTATTCCATATTTGGCTGGCTTGCTTGGAATATATTGTTTAAATGCGCAACGTCCCCTAAAAGCCAATAATTGCTCATCTACAGTAAAATATTCACTGGCAATAAAGTTACTTTGGAAATTGATTAGAAAATTTTCAAAAAGTTTCCCAATAGGCGCCAATTTGTCGATTTCTCTTCGTTCATTTGTTGTCCCCACGTCATCAAATCTTATACAATTCACAAGAAATCGAAACCTCTTCTCACTCATTGCCAGGTAGCATGACTCGACCCCATTTCCTTTCGAATTATCCCAAATTTTTTTTTAATTTTTTCTTGAGCTTCTGAGTGTGCCAATCAAAAACAATATACCAATAAATGCGCTAATTTCAGTCTCATCAGTTTGTCTTGCTTCCTTTCGTACTTAGTTCCAATCTTTTGAATATATATGGGGCATTTCACGCCAAGCGGGCAACTTTAAAAGCAAAGTTGTTTAAATTTGTTCATATTTGGGTATGCTGTACCCCTAGGGGGTCTTAGCATTGGCATAAAACTATTTGACCCTGCGAAGACTAGGGACCCTGCTAGGGGCTTTTACATTTTCGTCAAAACGTTGTGCATGGTGTATTTTAAAGGGGTCTAGCTTCTTGAAAAATCTTCGTAGAAAAAAAATAAAAAATCACATTGGTAGGTAATTGTATGCTCTTTTTCGTTATGCACTCAAATTAAAAATTCCAATTTGTTAAAAAATAAAAATTTTGTTTTAAAAATTAAAATTATAATTTTTTTAATTTCGGCCACTTTTTTTTTTTTTTTAATTGCTTAAAAATTCTTTCAAAATGTATAGATGAGGCATACAAAATTTTGTAATGGGATGAGCACTCGTTTAAATGCTAGAGGACTTGGAGTAAACCCTTCTCAAACCTAGTGGCGCGCCGCGGCGTTAGGTCCTAGCGCGTGATACACTGTTTAGTCGATCGCGCTTTTGAAAAACTTGTTAAATAAAATTTAATTATTGTGCACAACTACATCGATATTGTTTAACTTGATTTTATTGTCCTTTTTAATATTTTTTTACTGAAACAAAAAATATAGACATGCAGCATTGAATTACAATAAATTTAGTAGGTACTTTTTTTTAATTTTCTTAACATTGTGGTTATATACAATTATGTTGACAATACTTTTTATTTTGATTTAAAATTGATTGGTTGAAAATAATAATAAACCAATATTTATAGTAAAAAAATAATATTAAATAAATTGATGAGACATTATCATTGTAAATAAAACATCTTCCTTGGGTCTTTCAATTAATTTATTTTATAATTTTTATAACCTTATGTTTTAAACTATTACTTGTATTTTTAACTAGAATGCCTTCGAGTGTTGGAATAAACGCGTGAAATTTTTTTGTTCCGGGAATAGGACTAGCATTAACAAAACGATTTTCTAAAAATATCCTTTCTTGTTGAATTTCTTCCTTGCTGCAATAATAAATCGAAGTTTCTGTCAAAGTTTTTTGAGCCCAATTAAACAAACGCTGTGGAGTAGTGATAGCCTTTTCAGATGGCAACTGAAGACTTGCACGGAATGCCAAACGCTTTAAATTGCCTCCGAGTCCATCACATGGTCCTTTACCATGCGCAGTAGCATGAAAATGTAACTCTGCATCTTTATTAAAATCTTGCTTGTAATAAAATAGATTTAAAAAGTTAAAACGATTTTTGAAATGCTGTGGTGCTCCGTCTGTCACGTAAAAAAGTTTGGATACCGGCAAACATTTCTTTTAAAAATGTGTATGTAAAATTTTTTGAAATTTATAAAAGGTCGCAGTATCGTGCTTAAGGTCGTCAGTTATCATTACAATGCTTTCATGTTTTACTTCTCGTTCTTTATTAAAGTAAAACACGCATGTTAAAAGGGTGGCTTGATTGTTGTTCCAGTGGAAAGATTGGGCAGCATCTTGAACTACAAAACTGTAGTTCTCAGCAAAATCACACTGTACCATAATTTCTCCTTCAACTAAATTTTCCTTTAATGATTTAAAAAAAGATGCTTGCTGATCCACAATATAGGCATGTGGTTTTAGTACATCAAGGCCAGCGCATAGACGATCAACAAAATCATCGATAGGTAGTATTTGGGTTGTAAAAGAAGAGCGATCAGTACCAATCCAGGCTTCAAATGTCACACTTTTTATTTGATTTTGATCAAAAACCATTCTTAAATGATCTTGAATTATTCTTATACCAGGGCAAGATTTGCAACTTTCAATTTTTTGAGATTTTGATGTTGATAAATGACAAACTGAAGTTGGATTGGCACACATCATTTTTTGTAGGCAATCTTTATAGGAGGTGAGATGAATGTTAGTGTTAGCCGTAAGACAAGCAATGTCTGCTCCAATCAACATAAGCTTCACATTTTGGTGATATGTGCACACACACACTAGATGTGTTCCTGAAGCACCAGCGATGACACATTGCTTAGGCCGCAAGGTAAAAAACTTTGTAATTCCCACCTTCACATATGAATATTCCTGTTTAAAAGTTTCATAAAGTTCTTTTACATTACAAAGAATTAAATGTTTTTGCAAATGTTCCCTTTTTCCATCGTCCTTTTTAATGGATACAAAATCTTTTTTACCAGGCATTACTCGGCTGTTATCTTCCCTAAGATAAAAGTCTTTTACCAGTGTCTCAGTTTTAGGATCCATCTTTCGTCCTTCACGAGGATTGTGCGTCGACATTATGCCGTACTTTTCCACCAACTCTTTTGCATTTTTTGCCTGCCTTCTGGATGTTCCAAACTCTTTTGCAAGCCTGTTTTCGCTCCACGATTTTGGAGCAATAGTTAGAATCATGGTCTTTATTGGCCCTGGTGTAGAAGGATCATTAAATTTTTGTTTAAGTTGCTCCAAAATTTCTGAATCTGCAGATTGTTCTATTTTAATAGCACTAACAATGGGAATACAATTACTGTCTTTTTTGAGGTCGTCTTCCATTTGTTCGTCTTCACTAAATTTAGTAGCTGCGTTGGGCTCATTCAATGCTGGCTGAGGCACTTCACTTATAAACAGTTTTCTGCACGTACCACAAACAAAATTCTTATTTGAAACTTTCCACTTTTTTGCCATTTCATTGGAAATCTTTCGAATTCCTCTAGTTCTTCTATGGTTTAAAAGCTTAAAGGGGTTAAAGCAGCGGTAGCTAATTGGAGACATAATTGGCAGATAACAGTAAACGTTAATAATAAATAAAATAAATTGTTTACTTAAAAACAGAAAAAAACTAAACGCATAAAAACTAAAAACGGATAAAAACTACTATAAATACTTTAGGTAATAAGAAAATATTCACATTAAAGTAAATAAACAAACATCCTAGCAACAATTGTGTCCCTAGTAACTATCCTTTTGGAATATTATCCATAGATGACTTGTGATTAAATATTCTTTTTTTAAATATTGGTTTATTATTATTTTCAAACAATCAATTTTAAATCAAAATAAAAAGCATTGTCAACATAATTGTATATAACCACAATGTTAAGAAAATTTGTGGGTTCGTAAGTACCTACTAAATTTATTGTAATTAAATGCTGAATGTTTAAATGCCTATATTTTTTGTTTCAGTAAAAAAATATTAAAAAGGACAATAAAATCAAGTTAAACAATATCGATGTAGTTTTGCACAATATCCTCTAGCATTTAAACGAGTGCTCATCCCATTACAAAATTTTGTATGCCTCATCTATACATTTTGAAAGAATTTTTAAGCAATTAAAAAAAAAAAAAAGTGGCCGAAATTAAAAAAATTATAATTTTAATTTTTGAAACAAAATTTTTATTTTTTAACAAATTGGAATTTTTAATTTGAGTGCATAACGAAAAAGAGCATACAATTACCTACCAATGTGATTTTTTATTTTTTTTCTACGAAGATTTTTCAAGAAGCTAGACCCCTTTAAAATACTCCATGCACAACGTTTTGACGAAAATGTAAAAGCCCCTAGCGGGGTCCCTAGTCTTCGCAGGGTCAAATAGTTTTATGCCAATGCTAAGACCCCCTAGGGGTACAGCATACCCAAATATGAACAAATTTAAACAACTTTGCTTTTAAAGTTGCCCGCTTGGCGTGAAATGCCCCATATATTTGTTGAAACAGTTATTATTCTGATAACTGTTTCATTCACAAATAAGTTTAGGCATTCGATTTCATTTGCAGCGTTACGTGCCATACCTTTTGTACCGGGAAAAAGTTTAATGATATTATGAGAACGGACAGGAACTTGTACATTGGATCTAGATTTCTTTCATTTAGTAACCTTACCTTTCCCAAGATAAAAATTTGATAGACGTACTTCATCCAAATCGTCTGACAACATATCTACATCTTGATCCTCTTCTTCTATCTCCGATAATTCTAGTTCAGATTCTGTCTCGTGATTACTCCTTTCAGCAGCATCCATATCTCTATCGACATCATCCTCGGAATTACTCATATTATCAATAGGGCTCTCTTCCCCACTTGATAGCTCGTTGAACCATCTTAACCATACATCCAGGTCCCTGCTTCTTTCCATGCGTCTTTTTTTAGGGTCAGACATAGTTTTTTCTAAAATGTATTCTATTTACTACAAATTACCAAGCATTAATAACCTAGACTCATCAAAACAATAAAAATATAAGGCGAAAATAAAACAAAAAACTGTAACGTCGATGGTCACGTGGACTACTTATGTAGACCAGTGCTGTTTTACCAGGGTTGGATGAATTTGTCCAAGTGGACATAATTGGACGATTTTGTCCAATTATGTCCGTCCGGACATAATCAATTGTTTTGGACAAAATTGGACAAAATCGGAGAAAATCAATTAACCTTATTATAATAATTATAATTTATGTTATATTGTTGCTTAAGTTGTTGTTGACACCCTAATATAATTATTATGTTAGGGTGTCAACAACAACTTAAACAAAAATAAAACATAAACAACTTGAACATTTTGGTGCTTGACTAGCCATTGTTATCTTATTTATATTTAACAACTACATAACATACAAGATACATGAAGTTTAAAAAACAGAGATACCCAATTGGGTCTTAAGACTACAGCACAAGCAAAAAGCAGATTTTCTCTGCTCTGTATCTGCACTTGTTTTCAAACGGTTAATAATAATAAGAATTAGGAATAAATAATAAGCGATAAGCGACTTGAAACCTGTCTATTTCTTGTATTACAACAAAATAAATGAAACAAATAATATTATAATATATTATATTATGTCATAAACAAAAAATAAATAAAAAATATATTCTGTAGTAAAATACATATAATACCTAAATATAATAATTATTATATGTAGGTATTATATGTATTTTACTACAGAATATATTTTTTATTTATGACATAATATAATATATTATAATATTATTTGTTTCATTTATTTTGTTGTAATACAAGAAAACTTAAGTAGTAGGTACCGATTATACCATAATTATAATAGTAGTACGTAATAGAAAATAAAACGTTGTTTCTATAAACTACGAGCTCCACCTTAAATTTCGCGAAAATTGTTAAATATTTTGAACTGTGACTACAATTATGCATTAAATGGTTTAAAAATTTGCAATGCCATGTTTTTAAGGGAACTGTATTCATTTTTTGCCTCAAAGCATTATTTATTATTTAAGGTTTTGGTTAACGTTGAAGTAGGTAGTACTAGAAACTAGGAATAGGTACTTAATGGTAATAAAATTTAAAATCAGCACTTACCTCTCTGTTTATCTTTATTTTCCATCCTTTATGTAGGTACTTTACATCTTACATTACGAAACAAACACAAAATTTTCTGCAATTTTCAATTTATACAACACAAAATACAGATGTACATTTTGGTTGCCTTAACATGGCTTAGTAAACCAACAAATTTAATAAAATAGAATAAAATTTGATTTTTTCCAATATTGTCCGATTTTGTCCGTTTTTGTCCAATTTTGACCATGTCATGGACGAAATCAAAAAAAGTGGACAAAATCACAACCCTGTGTTTTACCCTTGATAAGATTTAACACCACACAGTTCAAGCGCACTTAACATACTAAACAGGTTTTAAGACTTATTAGCAGCAGCTACTGAGAAGCATGCGCATTTAAGAAAAAATTACAAGGGTGTTTAAAGATACGTGGTCTACGATTGTAGTCCACGTGACTAACGTATGGTTAAAATAACACCGTATATCAAAAAGCCTCTTTAACCGACCATTTTATGCTTTTTATAAATTTTAGTCTCTCGGAACAAATTAAAAATAATCATCAGAAACCTAGCAACTTAGTTATTACAAATTTAAATAACTTGAAAAAATCTCTAGAAACTAAAATCTGAGTAAAAGGTTTAAATGAGCAAGCTCCTGAAAAGAGATATGGATATGACATATTTATGCAAAAATAGAATAGATATATTAAAAATAATACTAAATCTAAAGTAATTAATAGTAAAAACAGAAAAATAAAGCCATGGATGACACAAGGACTACTAACTTCAGTACGTCATTGTGATCATCTAAAAAACAACTAGATAAAAATAATACTATTCAAAAAAATGCTGAATATAAATATTATAGAAATTTTCTTAACAATTTAATAAAATCAACAAAAAATTATTTCTATAAGAACGAAACTGAGCGCTCAAATAAAAACTGCAAAAAACTTTGGAAACCTATTATTCAAGCTTGCAACCCTGAAAAAAAGCATGGTAGAAATTTAAATAAGGAAAAAGAAATTGCAACATGTTTTAACAAATTTTTTGCTAATGTGGGCAAAGAAATGGCCAGTAATATTAAAAATCCAGTGGGTACACATGCAATATGCAAAAATAGTTGTTCTATATTTTTAAATCCGGTTACAGAAAATGAAATTGTTTCCATAATAAATAATTTAAAATCGAATTTCTCTCCTGGACCCGATAACATTTCTGTGCGCCTTATAAAAACCTGTCATCTTTTAAAACCGCTTAACCATATAATAAACTCTTGTTTTTCGTTAGGTTTAACTCCCTACAAACTACAGACCAATCACCCTTATAAATAATTTTGCAAAAATCTTTGAGCATTGCCTAAAATCCTAGACTAATAGCATTTTTAATACAACATAACATCCTGAGCAAAAACCAATTCGGCTTTCAAAAAAAATTAACACCGAGGACGCCACTATTGAACTTTTTAATACATTGTCCATTAAAATAATAAAAATAGAAAGTGCCTTGCCATCTCCCTTGATTTGGCAAAGGCCTTTGATGTCGTTTATTTTGATATATTGTTGGATAGATTGGAGAACATTGGAATTCCTGGCTCTGCGCTGAATGTTTTTAGAACTTATCTAGAAAATCGTTTCCAAAGGGTAAAAATTAATAACGAGGTAAGTGACCCTCCCAAGGCACAGTATTGGGCCCAATTTTATTTTTAGTTTATATAAACCCTTTGGGAAATTTAGATATAAATGGTAAAATTATTACGCGGATGATACTCTAGCTATATTTGAGGATAAAACTTGGGATATGGTATTTAAAAAAGCCGAATCTTTTTATTTTTAAATCAAAGCCTAAATACACTGATCGTTTTTTGAAGTGGTTCGCCAAAAAAATTATTCCACTTTGATAGGTTGTAACGTTTGAATGGATGGACGTATCTTGTTAATTTTTTTTTTGTTAGAAAGGGCATTTCTTTAGCAGTAAGTGTGCACGACTGCATTCATTTGTCCTGATTTAAAATAATTTTACAGGGTGATTTGTAAAGCTATGATTTTAACATTAAATTTATTAATGTGCAGGAGGTAAATGGGTCACCCTGTATAATTTATTTTAAGGTCATCATAGAGCCTTACGTCTTAGCGCTGCGTGCTTTTTTGGATTTTGGTCTTACGTCATTTATTTTAAAAGATATGATTTTTTAACCATCTTAAGTACACATGAAAGTCAAAAAGTTTTATTTTAATTTTTAAAGCAATAACAATAACAATAATAATGAATAACGAATTGTTAATAAAAAATATTCAATAATGGGTAGGGCCCCCTCTACTCCTTATCACCTCCTGACATCTTTGAGGCATACTCCTGATGACATTATTGATGAGGATA